TCAACTCCCCGGAGCAGTTGTCCATATCACTTCAACGGTGGTATGAGACCAAGGGAAAAATTGGAGGACACATCCGATGCTGTGAAAGCAGACCCAGAAATATAAGGAGGCAGCAAACTGAGGCTTTAATACGACCCCAAGCTTCGGTGACACTAGAGCGATGCAGCTCTGAGAATAATAGTCTGTGTCTCCCAAGTGTCCTGCCTAAATCCATTGAAAAAAACTACAACGGGCCGGTTCTATCGGAATCGGCCAACTAGTTCCAACATCAAGTCCCCCACCAGCAGACGGTTTCACGTCAACTACCCCACAACACTCTGAGGTTGTTAGACTCACTGTCAGTTGCCTATATAGCAATGTGAGGGGGCTGAGAGGGAAAGTAGGTGAACTCCGAAATCTCCAAGCACACCTTCAACTGAAAATAATCATTCTTACTGAAACGTGGCTAAACCCCACTATCGCCGACAATGAAATCAGTATAGGTGATATGGTACTGGTCAGGAGAGACAGGGATAATAAGGAAGGAGGGGGAGTTGCTATATACTTTGATAGGCAACTTAAATGTGTGCGCGCAACGGACCCACCACTTATCGAACTCCCAGACTCCATATGGTGTCATTTCACCGTAGGCCACACCAAGCACTTACTGGGTGGCATCTACCGATCTCCCACCTGTGGGGCAGAGCACAATCAGCTACTGCTCAGCACTATCACAGGAATACGAGATTTGGGCTACGACCAAATCACCATAGCTGGAGATTTCAATGCTCCATCACTGAACCTGGCTCCGGGTGTGCTAAGGGAAAATTTGGCCGAAACCTACTGCAAACTATTCGAAACACGGGACTGACTGAGAATGTTGGAGACGACACTAGGTGGGGCCCTAGTGGAAAGTCATCAAAACTAGATTATATTCTAACTAGTGACCAGCTACTCGTCGAAAAGGTCCAGATCATGACTCCTCTGGGAAGCAGTGACCATGCAGTCATAGGTTTCGATCTTGTCCTCCGTGAGCGTTTGCAATGGGATGTTACGCGACCATGTCTGTGCTACAGCAAGGCTGACTATGCTGAAATGCGGAGGCTCTTGTCCGACGCAGACTGGCCCTTAGCATGGGACGACCTATCTGTGGATGAACACTGGGAAGTGGTAAAAAAGATTATCCATACAGCAATCTCGGATACCGTCCCTTTAGTCACAACACAGCCCAAGAGAAAGACGTCATGGTTGAAGAGAGGCACGCAACGTATTCTGCAAGCAAAGCGGAAGGCTTGGTTTACGTGGCGTGTATCTAAGAGTCAGACCGACCATGATGCATACCTCGAACTCAGGAACCGGTGTAATGCAAGAGTCAGGAGGGACAGAAGGTCATTCCAGGCTAACCTTGCTAAAAAACTCCTATCAAACCCTAAAAACTTGTACCGATTCATGTCGGAAAGAAAACCGACAAACCAAGGGGCATGCGCCTTAGTAGGCCCAAACGGTCAATATCTCACTAGTCTGGAGATGGCTGAAACATTCAGTTCAGCCTTCGCTAAACAGCTAAATGTGGATATTACAGTTACGGACCAAAATGGTGGCACCACTATTTCAGAGGAGGAAGACCTAGCGACTACTCCCCAAATAAACCCCGCAATAGTACTAAGGAAGCTACAGCGACTCATACCTGGGAAGTCCCCAGGTTGTGATGACATCAGGCCATCTGTTCTGAAACAGTGCGCCGAGGCTCTCTGTAGACCCCTGTGCGACTTGTTCCAACACTCAATGGATTCGGGGACCCTGCCAAGGGAGTGGAAAAGAGCCATCCTTTCTCCAATCTTCAAGGGTGGGGACAGGCAAAACGCTGCTAGCTATAGACCAGTAGCTCTACTCCCAGTGGTATCAAAAGTACTGGAAAGTATTATTGACGACCACATCAGGGAATATTTCGATAGGACTAATATACTACATGAAGCCCAACATGGTTTCAGAAAAGGCAGATCCTGCGTCACTAACCTACTGTCAGCTTGGGACGACTGGACATCATGCTGGGACTTGAACGTACCAGTCCATGTGGTCTTCCTAGACTTTGAGAAGGCATTTGACACTGTTCACCATGACCTTCTCCTACATAAAATAAGCCAGGCAGGCATAGGTGAGCCACTTCTGTCATGGTTGAAGGACTACCTAGCCGACAGGCAATTTTGCACTAAGGTTAACCGAGTCCGATCATCTTGGCACAGATCGTCATCAGGAGTGTCGCAGGGTTCTATCCTAGGACCACTGATGTTTTTGATTTTCATCAATGATCTACCACGCCGTCTGAGCTGCCCGACTCTCCTGTACGCTGACGACGTAAAAATATGGAGGGCGATAAAGTGTCCGGAGGACTCAGATAGGCTACAGGAAGACCTAAACCTTCTGGAAGACTGGGCGGTGGCCAGTGGCATGACTTTCAACTTGAAAAAGTGCAAAGTAGTGAAGTTGCGCACCTGTAGACTGCAGAATGCAAGTTACACCCTGTGCAATGAAAGCTTGTCCTGCACAACGTCGGAACGCGACTTAGGTCTAGTTCTAACGGAAAAAATGGACACAAGCGTAAATTACACAGGGGATGTAGCGAGGGCATATGCGGTCATACACTTTACGCATAGACAGTTAGGTGCACTCACTCCTGAGCTCTTTCTAATGTTGTACAAAACATACGTCAGGCCACACCTTGAGGTGCATAATATTATTGCACCCCCAATGCTGAGAAGAGATGCCAACCTCTTGGAAAGAGTCCAACGACGGGCAACAAAAGGAGTGGTTGGTCTCCGAAACAAACCATATGATGAAAGGCTGAAGAAATTAGGCCTGTTCACACTTAGTTACCGTCGGCTTAGGGGGGATTTGATTACTGCCTACAAAATAACAAATGACCAGAATCACCCAAACAAAGGTGTTCTGCCATTGAGTAGGTATAGGCTTCCACGTGGAAATCCCAGAAGGATAGCTCACCAGAGGGCAAGGACCCGGGTGCGCTCCCACTTCTTTTCACTGCGGGTTTGTCGTCCCTGGAATTCCTTACCGGCAGATGTAGCTATGGCACCGTCTTTGGACGCCTTTAAGCGAAGGCTGGACAACCATGCAGCGATACAAGGACTGCATCCAAATGGCCTATCTCCTTAAAATCGCATTTACCAATCAGGGTAGATAATTAAACTCGTCATTTTACTTCTTTACATTCTCTCCCGTCTTACTCTCCTGACAACTTATTAATATTATAATTACTATTATTATTATTTTACTATTACCGATATATATATTATTCTTCAAACTTAATGAGCTGACTGTTGTTACGTTTCCTATTTTCGTTTCTGTCTCTTAGTCTGAATAGCTTCACTAATTATATCTATTATTATTACTATTATTATTATTACTATCTCTTTTCTCTTGTCGACAATACCGAAGGACTAACTGGCGAAAGGATCAACTCCAATCACAGTAGTAACAGTCTTAACATACCTCATACTACAAACCACATATAATTAATCCCAGCACTACTCCCTTTGGAGTCAACCAAAGCTACGACAGTCGAGTGGCGGGACAAGCTACGCAGAAGTTTACCGAAGATCAAGAACCTATACCTCACAATCAAGAAGCGAGCACAAAGAAATCAAATTGGTTTATACTAGCTCGTAAAAACGATATTGGATATTGGAATGCACCTAGGTCAGAAGTCTTACACGTCGTACTCCCTGGGGGACACAGAAATGCCAGATGTTAGGGGACAAAAGGACTTAGGAGTTATTATAAGCTATGACTTAAAAACAACGGTAAATTACAATCGAGCAGCAGCTAAGGCTTTCCAAATGTCATCGACATTTAGAAAGGCTTTCAAACGGTTAGACGAGGGTATGTTCCAAGTACTCTATGCAACATATGTCAGACTTCATCTGGAGTACTGCATACAAGCGGCGAGTCAATGTTTCGAAAAGGAGGTACATATTCTGGAAAGAGTGCAAAGCATAGGAACGAAATTAGTTAGTGGTACCTCACACCTTCCTTATGATAAGGGGATGGAGCATTTAAATCTCTTCCCATCATCACACCGAAGTAGGAGAGGCGACTTAATTCTGGCTCACCACATATAAATGGGGGATTTAGGGATTGACCTTTCAAACCTTTTCTATCCCCCTAAGATACATTTGCAAACCGAGGACGATTAAAATATGTGCAGAATTTAGATTCTCTCACAGAGTGGTCAACGACTGGAACTCCTTACCTGATTCAGTAGTATCAGCTTCATCAGTGAACGCTTTCAAAGAGAAGTTAGATCTCTGCAAAGGTATATTTTGCAAGGATTAACACATGCCACAAGAGCCTTCTACCCTTATAATCTGAATCTGTATGACAGACTATCAATCTGTATGCTTCCACTCCAATGATTACATCACACTTCTGAGAATAACCAGAGTTCTTCCATCAGAAAAACAGCCTAGGGGTTTCTGATTATTCAATTATTCAGCTCATAGGCCTAGAAATATGAACGATTTTATACTGCAAGCTACAGTTTTCATTAAATATTTGATGAAAACTGTAGTTTGCATATGCATATGCAATTATTAGCAATGTCATAAATCGTAATTAAGAGAGTAAAATAGTTTTTAAAAGGCGGAGATGACGTAAAATGGAATGTCTATAGTGTCAAAATGGTGAAGTATCTGTTATCGTAACTTAATTTACGATATATTTATGAATTCCAGACAAAGACTGATAATACATGCTTGCAAACATAGAAAAGCATACCTCCACTCGTATCCAAAGAACCCATTTTACAGATACAAAAGGATGTACGTATAGAAGTTAAAGCTGGACAGCCTACAGGTAGGGTTAGTGTTCGCCTTCATGAAATAAAACGCGAGCTAATTAATAAAATATGTCGTGATCCCTGATAATATTCAGACGAATGAAACAGAGTCACCATTTGTATGCAAAATGCTATGGTCGCATGAAAAATGTTTTCTCATATTACTTACTACAAGCCTAATTTTGTTAGAAACATACTCAACACGAAAACCTACAGCTTTATTTAAATTTAGCGCAAAATTTTCAATATCCAATCGTGTTCCGTTGCATTTCTTGACTCTTACTTCCTTTTATTCTGGAATAGCTCCAAAGTTTCACCTCTACAAAATATATTTTATCACATCCACTGCTTTCAATCTACTTTATTCAGTAAAAGGAGGCCTATTAGTTCATTTCAGAGGAAATTTGACCTACAGTTATCTAAGTTTTCAAGTATTGGTTTTTGTAGGGATTTTGTTTGATTGCATGGAGGATTTAATCATGAGCTGACATCAGTTAGAGAACCATTGGAAAACAAGCTGGGAGTATTGGACAGCTGTTTCGTCGTAGTTCGGGACTCTTAAGCAGTACGCACCCACCGGGATTCGAACCCAGGACCTTCTGGTTACAAGGCGAGCTCGTAGACCATTGAGCCACTGGGACCCGATCCAATGGTCCTTGAATTCTAACTTCTGCCAGTTCACGACATAGCGCGACCACTTCGCAATGTCTTCTTCGACGAGTTACTGCCTCATCTTCGACCTGCAGTACCCTACTCAGCTCATGATTAAATCCTCCATGCAATCAAACAAAATCCCTACAAAAACCAATACTTGAAAATTCATCTGATGCTCACTAGTGACTGGCCCTATTCAGGCAGTTAACCTGGGGTTCTAGTGGGAAGCCGTGACCAGTAGGGTACAGCAGGTCGAAGATGAGGCAGTAACTCGTCGAAGAAGACATTGCGAAGTGGTCGCGCTATGTCGTGAACTGGCAGAAGTTAGAATTCAAGGACCATTGGATCGGGTCCCAGTGGCTCAATGGTCTACGAGCTCGCCTTGTAACCAGAAGGTCCTGGGTTCGAATCCCGGTGGGTGCGTACTGCTGAGGAGTCCCAAACTAGGACGAAACGGCTGTCCAGTACTCCCAAGTTATCTAAGTGTTGTACCTGTTGTGTAGGTCAACTTAGCTGTAATCCGTACTCACTTTAAACCCAGTGTTATCTTTCAGTAACCTTTCCTAAAACTAAGCAGATATTCTGTTCAATGCCGTTGCAGTTTTTTCAGATTTTTTTCACAAGTACGGTTTTTGTCCACTTGGTCTTATTGCCATTAACCTGTAGGGGACTAATGTTAGAGTTCACTAATATTACAAATATGAAAAATATAATCCAAGTCAATGGAATGTTAAATAACAATATATTACCAAAAAATACAATGACGAGTTATATCAACAAAAAGGACTACTTGGAAATAAAGTTTAAGTCCTCTGCTACAAATTATTTATATAACCCACGGGTAAGTTAATTGTTTGGACTGCGTCTGCTGTAGCTGCTGTGTTCTGGTTGTAGAAATGTCTTCATAATAATAATATATATATTTCACATAAATTAAGCATTTACATGATTCACATACCGTTTGTACAGGCATGATCATATTAGACAAGTGCAGTCTGAAACTGAACACTGTTTTATGAAATTAAAAATTGGAAAATGAATGGAAAACTTTACAGGAATAGAATATAAGGTTTTGGTTTAAGTCTAAATTATAATATTTAATATACTCATAGTGAGTCAGATTCATGCGGGAATTATGAAATTTTGCGTTAATGGAATGTAAGAAGAGAGGTGATATACAGGTGCTAGAGTAAGCCACACTGGATTCAGACCGTTATTCATGATAATAATGTCTAAACGAAAAAGATAATAATAATTTTTAATTATTTTTTTATTAGTCCTCAAAATGAACGAAGCGAGCCGGTTTACTGATTTGCCGACCACTACGTGTTTGATATGGGAGGAAGATAAGACTTGGCTCCGGTGGGGTGGAATCGGATGTTTGATTATTTGATTGTGCAGTTAGATAAGATGGCGAAGTTTAAGAATAGGGTCCCAAAACCTTCAACGCTCAAATGACCTTGAACGCATGCTAGTCGTTGGCTAACGGTTCCTGTCATTATCATAGCTGAAATATCAACCCTATTCATCAAATAAGGAGCAAGTTTCACCCAGATAACACTTTTATTACTGTTTGGACAATGTGTTAACATCTCGTTAGGGTTAGGATAGGGGTTAAGGCGAGTATTGTGGTTAGGGTTATGGTTAGGGTTTAGGGTTAGGGTAGCGATTAGGAATAGATTTTTCGTTTAGGGTTAGGGTTAGGGTTTAGGTTTAGGGTTAGGGTAGCGATTAGGAATAGATTTTTCGTTTATTTCAAGTTCGTTTGTAATCCTTATTTCCCTTGTATGTAGTCGCCAATGATCTTACTGGAACCATAGTAACTAAACCAAGGGCTGAGGAGAGGACTACACAGCAAGAGAAGAGAGATGAACCATTCCCAAAACAGCACACCTTCAGTCTCTTCGGTGATTACATCTACAGAAACTAGTCCAAATTAGCAACTGATACTCTTCATCGCAACTGGAACGTATTTTTAAGTCACATAAGAGAAATATAATCCGTTTAATGTTTTTTTCATGCATATTTTGTAAATATACGTTAAATTTTATGCAAAATTCCTCCTATTTTCTGATTGGTCGGCTCAAGGTCATTGTGCGTTCGCATCTCTTGGGACTCCATTCTTAAATTTTGCCGATAAGATAAGATAAGCTTTATTCCAAATCAGTACTTGTGATACAGAATGGAATTCTCAGCATTTTACTACAATATTGCATCCAGTTAGTACATTAACAATAAATATAGTTCTACATAGATTTAGGTTATCTCAGTCAGTTTTGACAACAACATATTAGCATGATGGTAGCAAAGACAAAATTTAAACAGAGTGTTTGTGGGTGTTATAAAAGTACATACTACTAGCATATTTACTGGCGTAAACGATAGCAAAATGGTCGAGATATACAGAGTGTGAAAGAACGAACAAGAATGTTTTAAGTAGAGTTTGTAAGGAAGAGAGAAACAAAACAGCACACAACAAAAATAAATACAGAATAGAAAAAAGTAGAGAGAAAACGTTGTACCTGTAAATGATGTGACTTGGAAAGACGACATCCATTTGTTCTACTGACTATTTAATAAGTTAAAGGTTTCACGCCTAATGCTTTCTTTATTGCACAGAACTCGAGCTAGGTGGGGTATGGTTGAGTTTTTGTACTTGCTAGTGCGGGCATATAGTTTCCTATATAGGCTTCTGGTTTTCCCTGAAGAGATACAAGGGGAGAGCTGTGAATAAAGAGGGTGTTGTGAGTCAGATAAAATGGATTTCGCCCATTCTTCACATGAGTCGATGTGCCTGTGAACTAGAATATTAACAAGCTGGCTAAGTGGCAAACTGCTCACCCTCCTGACAACCTTTAGCATCCTACGTAATAAGGTATAGTCTTTCTTCAATAGCCCAGGAAAGACTAAGGGGGAACAAGAGAGAATAATAGGCAGAATACGGGAGTTAACAAATTGTAGGAGTAAGGGTTGGGTTACACCAGAAAGTCTTAACTTCTTGATGTAGAAGGTAAGACGGAATATTTTCTTGGAAATCGTCAAGATATGAGACGACCAGGAAAGATCAGAAGATAGAGTGACGCCTAGGTATTTAACATCCGACTTGGTTTCAATTTCAGTGCCATCTATGTTGCACACCTCGTGAGTCCTAACCAGTTTGTTTAGGTCAGATTTATGCCTAAAGGTGAAATTAACTGTTTGGCATTTGGAGGGGTTTAAGGTGAGACCGTTTTCCCTGGACCATTGGCTGATTTCTGATAAGAAGCCATTTAGTTTAGAGCAGTCACTTTGACATTCGACAGGTAAAGATACAGTTAGGTCATCAGCATATTTGACAAAGTTAATATCATTTGAAGATGCGTCGGTGGCATAGCGGTTAGGACGCTCGCCGACCGTGCACATGGTCCGGGGTTCGAACCCCGGCCGACGCACTCCTTTACCTCGCTAAACCAGAAATAAAGCTGGTAAAGAGGAAAGGTTGGGCAAGAGGCTATATTGAACTTTCCAGAGCCACAGACATTGAAAAGTCTCCGCACTTTTAACGGCTTAGTAAGCTATTATCGACGCTTTATTCCCAACTGTGCCTCTTTGATTCAGCCATCGACAGACCTCCTTCGAGGGAATAACAAGTCCATAGAACTTGACGCGTCTGCTCGAAATGCTTTTACCCAGATTAAAAAAGCTATTGCTAATGCCACACTTCTGATGTATCAGGATCCAACGGCACCGTTAAGTATCTCGGTTGATGCATCAAACACTGCAATCGGCGCAGTTCTACAACAGCTAGTTGACAAAGAGTGGCAACCACTCGCCTTTTTCTCGAGACGCCTGAGATTAGCTGAAACGAAGTACAGCACATTTGGCAGAGAACTTCTGGCTATGTACTGTGCTATACGGCATTTTAGACATTCGGTAGAGGGTCGTGAATTCATAATTTTTACGGATCACAAACCTCTGACGTACTCTCTGAACTCACCTTCAGATAAGTATTCACCCAGAGAATCACGACAACTGGATTACGTCTCACAGTTTACATCAGATATTCGCCATGTATCCGGAGTAAACAACACTGTGGCAGATGCCTTGTCGCGCGTTTGTTCTTTCACCCAAATCGACAGCATAGACCTAGTAAAACTGGCTCGTCTTCAAAAAGAAGACACCGAGCTTCAACATGAGTTGTCGAAAACAACTCTACAATTAGCTGAGAAACCCTTAGGTATGGGAAGCGATACTATTCTATGTGACATTTCCACGAGTACTCCTCGCCCCATCGTGCCTAAAAGCTGTCGCCGTAACGTCTTCAATACGTTGCATGGCTTATCTCACCCAGGTATTTGAACTACTGTCAAGCTCGTAACTAGTCGGTTTTGTTGGCCTGGCATTAATAAAGAAGTAAGGGAATGGGCACACACGTGCTTAGCTTGTCAAAAGTGCAAGGTGATAAGACACACCAAAAGCCCACTTGGCACCTTTCTTCTCCCTGACGCTCGTTTCGAACACGTCCATATAGATTTGGTTGGTC